GCGCCAACTACAGTGTCAGAATAACACCAACTCCCACACGGATGAGAGCGCGGCTTGTGCGAGTACACATACACTGACTGTTGCGATTAGTGTGCATAAACCCACAGAGATGGCGCACAGATCAATGCATGTAGCATGTTGAGTCCTAACTCAGGCTGAGCCCAGCTTTGGGTGTAAGCTCAGTGTTTTTAAACCAAATCTGAAGCCAACATTTTAATATCAAACACTCCCAATCTCTTTGTCTCTCTCTCTCACACACACACACACACACACACACACACGCACGTTTGCACAGCCATCTTTGTGTGGAGACTCACTGACATAATGGATTCCCTAGTCTCTTACCCTAACCATCATAACTAAATGCCTAACCACAGCCCTTTACCCTCAAACAGCCCTGTGAAAGGGTAAGATGTCCTCACAACAAAAAAAGAAAAGAAAGACAAAAAAAAAAAAAAAAAAAAAAGGTCCACATAATAAAGACACGCACACATCAGCACAACACACGTCAGCTTGGTGTGTTTCTGCCCTTAGACCTGAGCACTGATGACTCGGACTTGGATTCGAGCCCTGACTGCATTCTGTCTCCGAAGTTGGAGATGAGGACTCTGACTTTTGGTTTGTAACAGGCCATAATAATTAGGTACAGGATATTGAAATGAAAACCTGTCCACCTGCACCATGCTGTGTTCAGCACACACTTCCCCTTTCTATAAATGATTTTTATATTGCTGAGCAATATGGTGACGCAATACCCAGTTAGAAAGTTTAGAATCTAACATGGTGAGAGCTGTGTCAGTTGTGTTTAATATGGACCTTGATGACTGACGCAGGTAACGGGGACTCGGCTCCGATTAGTCTTTGATGACTCGACTTGGATTCGAGCTTTACTGACTCAGCTATAATGCTGTGGTTCCAGCCACTCCAGTAGAGCGAAATGTCTTACTGGCAAAGCCATCGGCTGATCTCACATCAGTGACGGCACTGTAGCATGTTCTGCACAATGGTGTACACACAATGGTTCTAAAGATATGTCTGCCATGTTTTACTTTAGATTACACTAGAATAATCCTACACTTTTGTTGGGGTTTTGTTTTTTTGTACTTTTAATGTGTTCTTTAAAAGACAAATGTTGACAATGGATTTCTTATGTTTCTAACAATCTGATGAACCTGAGAAGGCATCACATTAAATCTAAGAATTAACAGATAGATTATTATTATTAGCTGTTAGTTACAACCCTACACCTGACAAAGACACAGTGAAAATGATCAATGCTGCTCAGTGTTTTCTTACCCGAGTCAAGGTCTCAGGTCAGAGGGTGCTGTACAGATTGTACAGCCTCTTGAGGAAGTTTTCTAAGTTGTGATATTGGGGTATACACATACATATTGACTGATTTGATTATTTCAGACAGCTCAAGAGTTATTACACAGTCTACAGGAAAGCAAAGATGTTTTGGAAATGATGAGCTTCTGTACCATAATCCACTCAACATGAACGAGGTGGAATCAAAATTCTTGACACATTGGATTCAGGCTGCTCCGCACCACTGGCTTTGGTATCTGAAAACAGCACTTTTAAAATGATTTAGATGCTATTTCAGAAGCGTATAGATGATAACTTCAATTTCATATGATATTAAGGGACATTTCAACTGTTAAGACCTCTGTCAGTGCTTTACATTTTAATTTTCCATCACTTACAGTACTTTAAAAAACAAACGTTTCATGGTCAACATTCGAAATTTTTAAACATGCTTGCGACAAACTAGATCACAAAAATTATCACGTGAGCTTTCCATGTATAAAATGTTTAGTTTTTCAAATGAATGAACCAGAGGCTGATCCTGAATGGGAAGGAGAGGAACCCGCTGTTGCAGACTTGAGACTTCAGCTGGGTGTTTCAGAAGAGTAGGATTGTGTAAGTCTCTCAAACAAAGTAACAGTTGTGTTTTCAAAGATCACCAGAGGCAGCTAGCTTAGTTTTAGCACAGGTACTTTCATTTAGCTCAGCCTAATGCTGTGCAGGGGGTTGGCTTATCCTCCTGTATCCAATTTCATGTTTGGTATGACATCACATCCAGCACAGTTCTTCTTGTTCAAGGTGGGAGATTCAAAATTATACAGTTGCGTAACACAGCGGAGACAGAGTTTAGTTGTCTGACAGCAGAGGAGAACCTCTGCTATCACCCCAACCCATCTCAACGCACTTCTTTTTCGCTTTCCATCATATCAGCTCTTTACACCCCGCAGATCATCTGTGGAGAGACCTGAAGGTGGAAGCTTGCAGGCACTTCCCATCTACTCTGACAGAGACTGAAAGTATGTGCAAGAAGAATGGGACCGGCTTCCCAAATCCAGGTGTGCAACGCTTGTAGAGACTCAAACTTGTGACCGTTGCCTACATGGCTTCTATCAACGTGCAGAATTCAGGGTCAGCATACTTTCTAAAAGTCTCTCCTTTACATTTTTTTTTATAAATTTCCAGCTCATTCTGACTCTGTCCTGCATACACCGTCCTACTGCACCAAATACCATGTGTGGATTAATATGCCACTGAAAAGTCCCCAACAAACGCACTATGTCCTCCTGAGTAATGTTTAGTAAAGAGCAAATGTTTCAGGAAACTACTGAGCCTTTTCAAAGATGAACTTATATCTATATGAGCTACAGTAAGAATCGTGGAGCTCAGCGCTACAGAAGAACATAATGTATTGAGTGAAAGATTAACACGTGGTGGATTTTAGGTTTACATTAATAGGCTGACAATTAGAAACATACAGAATAATGCTAACCTTGTACTTAAAAACTTGTCTAGGAACATCGCCCAGGCTACATTTTAAACAGTATAAAAAACTGACCAAATCATGTTCTAATCAGGGAAATGATCAGAAAGGAAATAAGAACAAGAACGGCACTATGCATTCAGTGCCAACTTTCAGTACCCTAACTGAAGTTTTGACACGCTGAGCTCTGGGCACAACTGAGTTGTATCAATATGTAACTGTTCTTTTTATGCTGATATTGCCTCATCAGAGTAAACAAGTGACAACATCAACAATATTTTGAGGTAATTTGGAACCTGTGTCCACCAACAACAAGTTTGTTTTACAGCTAGACACCCTCTTGAGTACACATCTTGGGTCACAATTAACCAAATGAAAGGATTCCTTAACAAAAACGTTCATGTTGCATTTATGTTTAAAAATGAATATCGCCTAATTATCCAATTATTTTAAACATCCAACTACCGATGTCAGTGTCTGCCTCAAAAATCCATAATATTCTAGCTGTATTTAAAAAAGTTTTAGGGTTCACACCCGGCCAAACTGGGAAGGGGGTTAATTAATGCTGTTTGACAGACACGTAAGGTAACATTAGGATGCCAGAAATAATAATTACTGACAGATTTATGCATCAGTAGGTGTTTTTGAACAAAATTCATTACACTATGGTGAAAAGCCCCTAAAGTCCCATTAGACTTTGGGACAGCGATAAGTACAGTGTAACAACGAAAGGAGCGCATCACCACTGTTATTTCCCTCAGGACCACCTAAAATAGTGGCATAAAAACATTAGCTGAATATGCGTCAAAACTGCACCACAGTACTCTGTCATGACAGTACAGTCATGTTCATCAGTATGCTGGGGCTGCCAGAAGACTACGAACTGGAAATAGGAAGAGGAAGGACTCCATCGCTGAGAATACTACAGTTCATTCACACTCTTCGACGGCAGGGACCTTTCATTCATACAGACCCACTATCACTATGTGAGTGGAGGGCCCAGTGTATCAAGGTCTGCCAACTTTTATGTGACAATCAAAGGCCGTGGAGACCTTTTACATCACCTGTGCTAAGTGTGCACCGGTGGCCTAAATGACTAGAAAGAAACAGCTGGTTAAAACTGGCACACTGCTGAGGAAACTGAATGGGATGCAGGTTGCATGACAAGAAGTGTTAAAGCTGCTGTCTGTCAACTTTTCATCTGAGACACAAATGCAAGGTTTCTTACCCAGACTTTGCTTTCACCTACAGCTGCTGAATGTGTGGTAGCCTCCTGTAATGGAGGATGGTAACATTAACATGATTTAGCTACACACCTCTCTTCACCTTAACCATGTCAAATCCTGTACACACTGGATCCCAGGTAGGGACCGTACAGCAGAATGACAGCTAACATTCTTATCAGAATCAATCCAGCCTTCATGTGACTCATGTAAATCTGGGGGTGCAGTGCAGCAACAGACACGACATCACCTCCTGTATACCGCAGAATAATAGGCAACACACATTAAATATTGATCCCCGTTTGGTCTCCGGCGTCACAGACCTCCGTTAATCCGCCGCTCGGCGTGAATAAAGCCTTGCCCTTACAGTAACGTTAACATGCTGGTAATGCTGTCAGGCGCCAGGCAGCCATTTAGGTGCATATGGAGCCAGTTGAGTCTCTACGTAAATGGCTGATGCATTTCGAATTTTTCTTCCTAATTGCCGAGAGCCATCAGCAGCTCCGGCCTCCACCGAGCGCGTTTTAATCCGCCACTCCACATAGCGTTGCTCCAGTAAAACCGCTGAAAACCATCTTAGGGGAGCCTGGCTCCTTCTTCAGTCCGTGTTAACCCCTAGAGACTCTGGATCAAACAATGAAGCGGTTTGGAGGCATTCCGCACAACGTCCTCATGTAACTCAAACATCTCCGTTTACTCTTCTGTAATTATTGAAACACAAACCGCCACGCAGTCTTTATATATCCACCAGTGTTTTTGCTGCGACTCCAGACCTTTAAATGCAATTGAACAGTTCGAGGCGACGGCTGCTCGTCGCCAAATTGTCAGCCTGCATCAATAAACAGCAAAGCAAAAACGCTCTATTGTCTTATCACCTTATCCACCGGCAGCAAAACGACACAGCCGACCCGCAGCAACACGAATCCCGCCGCTGCCATTTCAAAACATCACCGGCCAGAGCCAGGCCTTGCGTACATCCTCGGACTCACCTGTGTCTACTTTCGCCTCAGTGTGTACCGTCTCCGGGTTCACGGTCCGGTCCTGACGCGCTGCAGCGGCTCCTCACCACCAGTCCCCGGCACCGGCAGGCAGCACTGAGCCCCTGATTGGGCCTCGACAGACGTTCGCCCTCTCGGTGCAGCCAGACAGACAACTCATTGGTCACGCAGTCGCTCCTTGAAGCCCAGACAGGCATCTGACTGGCTGATCCTTCGCCCAGCAGATCCAAACAGACCGTTGATTGGTCCTCCGGAACGTACAAGTGGAAGCACGCAGATAGCTGATTGGTCGTTAGTTTCCGCGACGGAGTCAGAGAGAAACGTGATTGGTCGTTAGCAGTGTTGTTGTCTGTGTCTGGACGGAGAGCCATGTTAACTGAGACGGGGCTGTAGAGGCAGTCTGTGGCTTAGCGTTGACTAAGTAGTGGCTGCTAGAAGCTCTGTACGTGCATTCTTCAACGATGACTCAGACTCAGACTCAGAGCCGACTTCCTTGACTTTAGTCAGTAATTAAAGGAGACATATTCGTTAATTTTTAGCGGGAGAACCTTAATTTCTTGTCATTTCGGGTTTCTAACGGTGTTCTCTGGATGTAGGCTACATGACAAAGACCCATACTGGACAAACGCAGCTGTACCAGTAGCGCGAATGGGTGACAAGGAAATACCCCAGCCTACATTAGTCGTCTCAAACTAATGCAGCCCCCGTCGGCTAGTGTCTGCTGTGTGTCAATGTTATGACAAAGAAAAGTCTTAACCCTGCAGCGTCATGCGTTCGTTTAACGTGCCACACAAATATGTCAGGGATACTAGAGCAATGTGACAAGTCAGCGCTGTGTGGGAGCAAGTCTGCGTTATTCAGCTTCAGCCTGATGTCCCCCCAGTATGGGCGTGTGAAAACGCCGACTGTAGCCAGTGTAAACAACACGCAGCCAGTTCTCAGTGTGGGTCGTACCTCTGTCTTACCTCTTATAGCCCCTCATTGAAAGATAGAGAAGAAGAACGTTGATTAAACAATTTTTAAAGGATCTCTCAATTTGAGACATGATGTGCATGTTTCCATCTGTGAAAGGGCAATAGCCCTGAGAAGACGCCGGTAGACTTGCTGACCTTTGCATGTTAAATCATTTATCATCGACCTAACATAGGATTATTGTTACTTCCAGTTTTACTTGTGACACGTGTTACATGTCAGTTCCTGTCTCAGTTCGGCCATGCAGCAGAGCCTGCTGTGTGTCATTACTGGTAGCCTGTCTGCTAAACCACGATGGAACCCGCAGCCAGGACGCGCCTCTGGCCGTGATGCACATTCTGATGTCCGCCGTTACTGGACAATGAACGAAGTTAGATGTTGCTGGTGGCGGCTGATCATATTACCGAGGACCTCTATGGAGACTACGCCCTCTAGTGGCTATAGGTGTTTTAACCTCACAGTAAAGTTTTAGGCTATTACAGTGTATCGTCATGTTTAAATAATAATCCTATGTTATCTTTATCACTCAAAGAATCGTAGAGGCTTTTTATTACTTACATTTGCGCAGTTAAATTATATTCACTCTGTATTGTTTCTTTGGCCCACTGGTATAACTTCATTTTTAAATTTTTGTTTCACTAGAGCCACAACGATATTAAAAACAACCAATACAATAAAATTAAAACACAACAGTCCATTGATCAAATGCACAGTTTGTTCCCTTGCAGAACAAATGCATTGACTGGCCAAGATGAGAGTAGGATAAGGAATCGGTCTCTCCTCTTTCCTATTTTTGATCAGAGTAGAACAGAGGAGCTAGAGCAGGGGTGGGCAATTTATTTTTACAAGGGGCCACATGAGAAACCTGAACTGTGTTGGAGGGCCGAACCAACGATAACTTGAACTTAATTCTGCTCAATATTCATTATCCTCCATTGTAAAAAGCAGTAAATTATATGTGTTGATTAGCTGCTACTGGTAATCAGAAGAATAAGCATATTAAATAGTTATATAAATATATGAAATTGTGGTGTAGGTCAAACAGGAAAATATTCCCATAGAAGTAATAAACAGTAAAAACAAAAACAAACATTACATAACAGTTCCATTTCATTTTCAACTTCACATAACACTGAAAAGGTGTTTTGCAGTATGGTAAAGATATGCATTTTCAGTTCATTTTACTTGTTCAGTGAGAGAAATCAGAATCAGTTTATTGGCCAGGTGTGTTGGACACACGAGGAATTTGACTCAGGTACATCGGCTCTCAATGTGCAAACAGTAGACCAGCATAAGGCTGTGTAATATAACAAAATAGCAGTATTAACATCAACAACCAGTGCAAACAATGCAGAAAAAGCAGTATAAATAGACAGTAAACAATGCAGACAACAAGGGAATGTTCATTAAAATGAGATAATTAGGGAAGTCCACTTCTTCCTGAAGTCCACTGTCATCTCCACTGTTTTGAGCGTGTTCAGCTCCAGGTTGTTACGGCTACACCACAGGACCAGCTGCTCAACCTCCCGACTGTAGGCTGACTCGTCATTGTCTCGGGTGAGACCAATGACCGTTGTCATCAGCAAACTTTAGGAGCTTGACAGAGGGGTCCTTCAAGATGCAGTCGTTGGTGTAGAGTGAAAACAGCAGAGGGGAGAGCACACATCCCTGGGGGGCACCTGTGCTTATTGTCCGGGTGCTGGATGTGGTTTTCCCCAGCCTCACTTGC